AATACAATTTTAATTTTTTTACTTTTTCCAATTTTTTACGGCGGAATAACTAATTTTTTCACTTTTTCCAATCTTTTACGGCGGACAATTTCAGATTATTCTCTCGATACTACAAAAATTGAGTGTTGGCTGATTTTTGTAACAAAATGCATGTAAGTTGTGCATCGATTCCAAGAAACATTTTTTAGTCGTAATTTTAAACTGAGACGATGTAGACAATGTATTTATTCAAATGAATTTTCAAAATTTAATGTGATTTATTTCTGTTAACAAATAATTTTGTATAAACATGTATGTTATCAATTAACTATTGTTTATAATAATTATTGTTTCTTTAAAAACATACAGGTTGAATAAATGAGTAATTTGTAAGCATTAGTAGTGTTTTTTTCTACAGAACTTAGCTATCTCTCATGGTTTTCGAGAAATGTAGCTTGGAATTTTTAAAGGAAACATTTACCTTCCCCATTTTTTTCAAACAACTTTTACATTGTTCTTTTAACGTCGTTTCCTAAATAAAATACATAATTTTTAACGTTTAATCATTGAAATTTCGTCAAACCCGGCGGACAGTTTGAGAATACACGATACTACTCTACCCGTGATTTATGTCTCAATTTAACGAGAACCCCCAGTTATTCCTCCTCCCACTTTCGTGAGTTCGGGACGTTTATTTTTTAATAAAACAATTTCTTATTCGGAACCGTATCAACGGAAGCACTAAATCCTCGAGCTTTTTAAACATATAACTGCTGAGTCGGGCAATAAAACATTTTTATCGTACTAAGACGAGTCATCAGTCCCCCCTAAAATTCCACTCGTCTGCCGCAAAAGGTCAGGGAACCGACACAGAGCCCTAATGAAAATGTAATGCCTCCGTTTAGGAAACAATATCGACTGTTATTAATGACGGTTCTTTAATTTCGTTTTAAGTATCCCACTTAAATTTTTGTTTGCGCCGATAAAAAGTCTTCATTCGTTGAAAGAAATAATAAATGTAAGGTATAAAATTATTTCTTTTGTTCCAAGAACTCCTTTAACTGTACCAATAAAAAAACGGGGTTAATTTATTGTAGAACGCTTTGTACACAGTGGGCAAATTTAATTTTTTTTATGGAAATCTCATGCATGTTCCAAATTTTGAAAAATACAGTGATTATTTTATTTAAAAAAATATAAGTTTGAATTTTAACTGAAAAGCTGGAAATTATAAAGTACATATCTCGCATACACCATTGGATTATAAGCAAAGAACTAATAAAAAAAACTCATTAAAAAATCATAGGTCCAATAATGGAGATATCCTATTATTGGTACAAAACTTTTAACAGCAAATGTGCTCTACCAGAAAGTGAATTTGATTTTGATTTTTTTTTTGTTATATCATGCAATTCATGCAAACCATGGAACACTAAACCACATTATATTCACAGAATAAACTATAAACAAAAAGCTATTCTTACGCTCTATATACAATATGATTATTGTATATTTATTGATTACAGCATATTACATACAACTACCAATATACTACCTATTTCAAACCACAGTTAATGGAAAACTTACACACACACATCGAATGACGAAATTTATATGATTATATAGCACATGGATTTTCCAAAAAGCGTCCAATTTGCGGTAACTGCATTTTTATATTTTGTCCTGCTATACAGGGTGTAAGAAGTTTGACTGCCATTACTTCAGCATGAGATAGAGTAATCATAAATGAACAGAAAAGTTGTATATTACAGGGGCGTAAGATTAACAGTTTTCAAAATACAGCGAGTATTAATATTGGGGAGTTTCATCACAACGTGACAACAGCGCTTAACCTGCTGATGCACACCACGTGTGCACGCGGCAGACTTGTCCTACGGAAAAAATGTAAACAACTATTATTGTGAAACATTTAGTAAATTTCAAGACAATTGTTTTCCAGTTTTTAAATAAATAAAATAAAATGTATCGATTTTGTAATATGAAGATAGTGTTGTGCTTAAATTTTAGCTCGAATTTTAGTAATTATGAATCTCTTAAAACAGGAACTTGAGTTTTAATCAAATTATAAAATTGAAAAATATTGAATTAAAGTACTCAAATATTCACGTCATCCAAATAATCATACCTGTACGTATTAAAAATAATTTAGGTACTTACCAAAAAGCAAAATTCAGTAATTTTTAAACGCACAAGTACAAAACAAACTACAACGCTCCACCTTTTTCGATGCACGCACACCTTCGAATCCAATTTTCACTCAGACACAGTCCAATTCCAGATACCAACTGAATTGCGTAATGCTGTACAGCTTAGTATATCTCGTGTTATCGGCCGCGCCGTTGTCACATTGCTCGATATGAATTTTATCGAATTTTTTATGGTATTCTATGCACGCAGTTATGTCAATATTCCTTAATTAATCGAACTTACATCAAGTTGGGGATTTTGATCATTTCTTTCTTGAAATGGTTGAGTTTAGGACCCATGTCATAAAAGGTTTTTTTTTTGTTTATTTTAATGTATTCTATCGTCTGTTAAAATTAAGGCAGTCAAACTTCTAACACCCTGTATATGTACAGATAGTGAAAAAAAAAAAACGCAAAGTTCGTCGCCCAAGTTGGCAACCCTGAAATGTCTATAGCTAAGATGTTTACCTAAGACATTTTATGACACGCCTTTTTCTTCTTTAAAATTCTATTTTGCAAAAGTACTTACTCTTCTTGAAAGCGCTTTTATTTTTTAGAAAAACGCAATTGACTGTCTAAAAGTCAACCGACTTCTATTTTTTAATATTCAGGGTCGGAAAGTCCCCATGGTTCATCGGCCGTTACTTGAGAGCGATAAAGAAAGTCATAAAAACCCGTGCGGTAGAGAAGATTCACTTCTTATTTGTGGAAAGGCGAAATGGGCGGTGACTATTAGACGCCTTCATTATAGCCATCTTTCTCTATCGCACGGGTTTCTATGACTTTCTTTATCGCTCTCACGTAATGGCCGATGAACCATGGGGACTTTCCGACCCTGTATAGGATGTCCAGGAACGAATAGGTTATACAGTACAACCGTTATACTACAACGATAGCTTTTTTGGGTGGCAGAACAATACTTAACAACATAACTTTTCAAGATAGCTAAGGTAACTTGATCTAAATCGTTTTATTTTCATCCAATTCGTTTTTGGATACATTGTATTTTAAAGTGTTACAATATGATATACTCGTGATGTGAAAATAGTTTGGTATGTGGTGACATGTTTATGTCCAAGGCAATTTTGATAACACTTCAGATATGATGAAAACTGCCAAAATAGTAGAAATTTGCTTTCTCCAAAAGGAGTGATCGCAACCCTAACGATACTTATATGGCTTGAAAGAGAATTTCAATGTGTACAAGACAGAGCAATAAAATACAGGCTAAGAATGTTATAACTGGTTTACTTTCCCAAAATGTAACAGCGAAAATGAAACGCAAAAGAGGAATATTTAATAAAGTGACCCTAAAATTTCACGTAGAATCCGAAATTGAAATAATATATTGGGTGTTCTATTTAAAATAACGAAGTTGGTGTCGACTTCTGGTATAACCGGAAATGCTGGAGAGATCTAGATATTTTTTAAAATAAAATTTTGTACTTGTAACTGTGTATTGTATATTGTCTGCAGTAAATGTTTTATGTTTTTAAAATTAGACGTTAAGAAGATATTATTAAGTATACTACAATTGATAAACTGGTTATTTAGATGAATTTTCCAAATTTTGACAGGACCTTGTAAATGTGATATTCTTGTTATGACCTGAAGATGAGGTGTAAAGTGTAGTCCTTGAAACTAGTCGTCTTTTGAACATTACAAATAAAAGGATTGTGAGATTACTAAGTCTTTATTCTTTCCCGAAAATTATAAATATGGACTCACACTTATCAATTTCAAATTTTTCATAGATGGTACTCTCTTAATTACCCAATAGATGGCGTTTTGTTAAATTGAAAAAACAACTTCTAAAAAATGTTATAAAAAATTTTGGCTTTCATTCCTCTCAGATAAAATTTCATTTTAAAATAAAATTTTGTACTTGTAACTGTGTATTGTATACTGTCTGCAGTAAATATTTTATGTTTTTAAAATTAGACGTTAGGAAGATATTATTAAGTATACTACAATTAATAAACTGGTTATTTAGATGAATTTTCCAAATTTTGACAGGACCTTGTAAATGTGATATGTAAGTATGCACATATAGTTTCATTTGTTAACTCGATATTAATATTACAATTTATTGTAAAAGTTTTGTAAAAAATAGTAACTTAGGTAAATGATTATCCTTAGAAAAGTTTAAAATTAATATTTGTCAATAGTAACTTAAATAATTATTCTTAGATAAGGTTCAAAATTAAAAATTAAAATTAATTCTTTGATTAACTTGATAATAATTAATTTGAAAAAGTTTTCTAAAAAATTGTGTACATTAGTATAATCAAAAATTAACTTTGTAACCTTGTTATGACCTGAAGATGAGGTGTAAAGTGTAGACCTCGAAACTAGTCGTCTTTTGAACATTACAAATAAAAGGATTGTGAGATTACTAAGTCTTTACTCTTTCCCGAAAATTATAAAAATCTAGATATTTTAGTTGTGTTTGCCCCAGGGACATTACCATGTTGCCAAATTTTAAGATGTGGAAATTGGATTTAAAAAATCGTCTTTGATGCTATGAATCTCAAAAACAAAATACTAGGTTTAGATTTTTTTATATTATGTTCTGTCAACTATTAAACTTGTGGTACTTTTCTGCCACACCCTGTGCATTATGCTATTAGTAACGTCACCGCAATTAAAAACCGCCATAAAGATATTAATCATCTCATCAGCAACATTACGTTGAAAATTCATTTTAAAACCGCAAATAAAAGTAACAGTTCCACGCGATAAGGCGCAGTCGATGACTGTACCTCTCGTTTTAAATAAAAGCGTTCTTCCCTTAATTATTTAATTGCGATTTAATGTCCTTTTCCTCTCCATCGGTCCCCGCGTTATCGCTCGACGCAAAGTGGCTCCGTCCGAGCCTCTAATGAATGAGAATTTATTTTTTTGCTTTTGGCCCGATCGCATCTGCCGTTTTATCAGGGGACGGCCGGTCATTTCATTAGTTAATTACTTACAGTGGCTCGCGCGACTTGCCGACTCCGGTCTGCCGTCCACCGACTGGATCAGACGACGCGCCGGTCTTGTCCTCTAAATGGTACGCGGTGGCCTAAATAATAGTTTTGTTTACACGCGGATCTTTAAAAGTGTGTAGAAGTGGTCGCGAGCGTCTTGAAAACCGGGCGCCACGGAGAAAAATGTTCCTTGGGTGTAACCGTTCTTAAGAAGAGTTGTGAAATTTTGCAGGAGTGATAATTCGAAACATTAGTAAAAAAAATCGAGTGAAAAGGAAAGCATTCATGTTGGTATGTAAACTGCTATAAGTGTTTTTAAAAGAGATAATAATGTTTCCATGAATGTAAGAGTTGTGATATTAAGTAGGAGTGATAGTTGTGGATATAATTCGAAACATTAGTAAAAATAGATGAAACCGAAAGTATTCGTGTTGGTAAACTTTTTCAAGTGATTTTAAAACGGAAAAATGTTTCTTTCATGAATGTAAAAGTTGTGAGATTTTATAGGCTAGAAAGTTGCGGATATGATTCGAAACATTAGTAAAAATGGAGCGAAAACGAGAGCGTTTATGTTGGTATGTATGTAACCTTTACCAAGTGATGTTAAAATAGAGGAAAAGCTGTAATATTTTTTAGGCGTGAGAGTTGCGGATATGATTCGAAACGTTAGTAAAAATATAGTGAAAACGAGAGCATTCATGTTGGTATGTTGGTAAGGTGATTTTAAAATAGAGCAAAATGTTTCTTTCGTGAATGCAATTATGTAATATAATGTAAGAGTTGTGAGATTTTGCAGGAGTGATGGTTGCGATAGTAAGTAAAAAGAGAGTGAAAACGCAAACATGGTATGTAAACTTTTTCAAATGTTTTTAAATATAGAAAACTGTTTCTCCCGTGACTGTAGGAGTTTTAGTTTTTGTAGGAGCCATAACTACGTATACAGGGTGTAAGAAGTTTGTCTGCCATTACTTCAGCATGAGATAAAATAATCATAAATAAACAAAAAAGTTGTATATTACAGGGGCGCAAGATTAACATTTTCAAAATGCAGTGAGTGCTAATATTGGGGAGTTTCATCACAACGTGACAACAGCGCTTAACCTGCTGATGCACACCACGTGTACACGCGGCAGACTTGTCCTATGGAAAAAATGTAAACAACTATTATTGTCAAACTTTTAGTAAAGTTCAAGACAATTGTTTTCCAGTTTTTAAATAAATAAAATAAAATGTATCGAATTTTAGTAATTATGAATCTATTAAATCAGGAACTTAACTTTTAATGAAATTACGTATTTGAAAAATATGCAATTAAAGTATACAAAAATTCACGTCGTCCAAATAATCATACATACCTATTAAAAATATTTAGGTACTTACCAAAAAGCAAAATTCAGTAAGTTTTAAACACACAAGCACAAAAGAACTTCAACATATGCTCAAAATGTCCACCACCATTTTCGACGCACGCGCAACACCTTCGAATCCGATTTTCGCGCGCTCGCACCTCAAGAAAAGGAAATAGTGGCACGCAAAAAACACTCCGATACGGTCGAATCCAGATACCAACTGAATTACGTATTGCTGGACACCTTAGTACCTCGTTGCGCCGTTGTCACATTGCTCGATATGAATTTTATCGAACATTAAATTTATTACAACGCTAATTATTTTTTGGAATTAAGCATAAATAAGTAAAAAAAATTGATAAACATTGTATTTTATGGGATCATATGCACGCAGTTATGTCAATATTCCTTAATTAATCGAACTTTTTACATCAAGTAGGAGATTAAAATTAAGGCAGTCAAACTTCTAACACCCTAACATTAGTAAAAAGTGATTTCAAGTGATTTTACGTAAATATGCATCAATATAAACAAAAAAAAAGAGACAGGCCAATTTTTATTCCAGTATATTGTTAAAACAGTGGATAAAATATAAAATTTTAGATAGTATTGGACAAATTATAGTCAAAAATAATAAAACAAACATAAAATTAAGAATCAAGTTCAACACTTTCATATTTAAAATGTTATATTGGAATGCAATTGTCAAGATATTTTCTTTCATTATTCGAAATTTGTCGGATGAGCCAGTAAAAATTAGTTTATAAATGAACGGTTAGGCTACTTTTCACAAATAATCGCTTATTAATTTGGTATACCTAAATTGATAGTAAATTGTTTGAAAATAATTTTAGATTGCAAAATACATCTTTACCACTCATTGTAATCATAAAATTATCCTGGAAATAAATTTTCTGAAGATAATTCAAACGTATTTCATAAAATTATACAAAATTAAATATGTAAAATAAAATGTTTAGGAAACAACCTGGTTTTTCGTATTAGTGATTTGATTTCAAAGAATTAATAAGAAGTTTAAATATTACCTGACAATTAAACTAAACGCAGTGATTCGATTGAAATTACTGACAATATACTCGTAATCAATTATATATTATTAAAATTAATTATTTATTTTTTATTGTCTGCAGGATGTTTGCAAAAAATCAGAATAAGTTTTTATTTTCAGGATCTTAAATTAATTTATGTAAATTTATATTTATTTATGTTTTTAATTCATATTTTTTTTTATAACCAGCACAAACGTAAAAAATTGTGATAATTAAAGTGTTTCTGTTAATTGCAAACGTTTTTTATTTATAAATATATGATACGTTAAAAATAGTATTACAAAAGTTATCTTTAATCGGTTTGATAACATTAATCCATTTCAAATATCTAATATTTTGGGAAGAGATAAAAAATTGCCAATTTATTTGCTCCTCTGATAGTTTTTTATTGTATATAAATACTATGATTAAATAAACACATTTTTCAAGTAATTTATTGTACATATAGTGCAAATAAGAAGAATATACATATAGTTTAGTATATTCTGCATAGATATTTTCACTTGCACGTGCATAGGGCGATTAGTTCGTTTTTGTGGTCAGAAAAATTTCCAAGTATTATAAATGAAATAGTAGTTAATTTTTACTATAAACGTATTTTGTGTATAAGCACACGAATATTTTATTAGGCGAAACAGGATTTTAATTTTATTCGTGCGTAATGGCCTGTACATTTATCAACGAGGCATGTTCTATGAAGAAAGAAATGACCATGAAATCGTGAGTTATGCCATTTTAACAGATTTTACAACAACATATAATTCATTATTTATAACAATTATTACCGACAAATCTCATACAAGTTTAAACATATGCAATGCAACTTAATATACACTCATGCATATTTTTCGAAAATTATCGATTAATAATATCGATTGCATCTAATATACTTCTGGATACTGGTATTCAGATTATGAAGAACCTTTCTATCGACTATTTTGCAATTGCAATTTTTCTGTTACGACAAAGCACGTGTAACTTTCTCTCAGTGTAGAATCGAATCGAACACCATCCTGCATCCCGCAGCATCTGCGGCCTGAAGTTCAGGTCACCGAACTTGAACTTCGTGTCTTTTTTAATGGGGACTGAACAGAGCGGCGGTTCAGCTGATGGTAATGATGACAGTTGCTGTCAAATCCAATTTTATAGCTTTGCGCTTCGACTAGGATAGGACAGGACCAGAACGTAAATATGTAAATTTGGCGCTGTATGGTTTTTATTTTTAATATGGCCCGACGGGTTACTAAAAATGAAATGTGTTTTTGAGAGGTACAGGAGAAATGTGAGTATAGGATGAAAAAGAAAAAAGTTAAAACGTGATGTAGATATATCCTTTCTAATTTATTGGTATTTTTATCTTCAAGATATTTTAGTTCAAGTTGTGATATACTTAAATAACAAAAATACGTTAGTGGATTTCCCAAAAAAGTCCCATAATTTTTGTTTTCTTGAAAATTAACGACAAAAAGGTAGACACCTGTAACATTTTTTTTAATAGATTCAAGTAGAATAAAAATTATGGGGCTGATGGGATTCGTATTACACTTTTTTAACAGTACTACCTATAGATACAAAAAAATTATCGTGAATTAATATAATTTGGAAATAGTGAGCTAAATGTTTCGTTAACAACGGTGGAATAGTTTTCCTAAATTGTCTATGTATTTACTTATTGTTGTATGAATAAATATTCGTTATAATTTTACAATTAGTGATTTAGATTAAATTTTTTTATCCTCCTATATAGAGACTGCAAATATTGTGGGTTTTCTTCTACCAGAGAAATGACCAAATCTATCAATGCATGAGAAAATTTTACTAGCATCATTTGATTATTTAATTAAAAAAATTGTCTTCCCTGTGGATGTACTATGCAAGAAAGTAATTGTGTTCCTGTGGCTGTTTTTGAAGAAGCTCAAGAAGCAATTTTCCTTTCATTGCCAGCGAAATCCAGGGAACATTATGAAAAAGTGTTCGCCGAATTTAACGAATGAAAGGAAAAAAGTCATGCTATCATATTTTTTTTTGAAGAAAAAATATGCAATTTCATCTATGTGGTCGAAGTATTCGATGTTGAAGGTATACTATAAAGGTCTACAAAAATACAGATATTGGAAAATATAACAAGCTTACTGCTTATTTGAAGAGTGAATCGAGAGGATACAAAGCAAACAAAACTGCAGTATTGCAAAGAGCACATATTGAGCCTGTTGGAATCAACACATGGACAAAGGTGCCCTCAATAGTTGCTTCATTCCTGAATATCGTAAATCCAGAAGCATATACTGGCCATTGTATGAGGCGCACTTCAACTTTATTAGCCAATAAAGGTGCTGATCTTACAACCATCAAACGGGATGGTAGATGGAAGAGCACCTCTGTACAAGAAAGTTATGTTAAGGAGTCTATATCTAACAAACTTCATATTGCAAGGAAAATCCAAGGAAAATATAGCTGTTCTTTACAAGAAGAGACATCCGTAACTTGAGCAAATTCTTCACAAACTTCGGCAGATGTTATGCGTTCCGAAAATGATGGCAACAATGCTACAAGGGTTATTATTAACGGAAAGGAAGTTAAATGTGATAACACAAAAAACCAAATGTCTATTACTATAAATGTAAATGTTAATGTTAATAAGTAAATTAATTAAATTTGATTTATTATAGATTTATCATTTTTTCATTATTCTACTAGTGAAATAAAGTTACTTTATTCCACTAGTGGATAAAGTATCACTTTAGACGGTTCATATGTCTGGATAAAAGTCCGATTATAAGGTGATTGTGGATAAAACAATTTTATTTAGAAAAGTAGTTATGATTATTGGATTGAGTGGAGTCCGTAGAAGAAAAAATTTGACATATTTGTT